AACAGCGCGAGCCGCGTTTCCAGCGCGCTCAAACAGTTAAGCGCGAGCCGCGTTTCCAGCGCGCTTAACTTGCGCGCCCCGGGTAAACCCGACAGCCGGGGCCTGCGCTGCCCGCCGGGGGTCGGCGCGGGAGATCAAAGACTGCGGGATTCGGCTCCCAATCGTTTGCCATTTCACCGGCACAGACAAGTGCGGAGCGCTGCCAGCAACTTCCCGTGTCACACAAAAGCTGAGAGTTAATGAGTAACTTGGGTTTTAATAAATGTTGGGATTCACAGGAAACTTTAAACCCCAAGGAGCCACTGAAACATTAACTGCAAAACCTGGCTCCAGGGTTGTCCGGCGTTCCGAGGATTTCTGTCACCACYGTGTCCTGACAGTCAGACTTGCCCACGTTTCCGAGTCCAGCCAGCGTGAAACCCCTCTGTTCACCAGGGCCKCTTCCTCCCGGGGTCCCTCTCCTGCTCCTTGTGCACGTGGCCAAGGAAGGAGAAGGTCTGGCCACGTTTGCCCACTGGTTTGTAGGATGCTGCCGAGGTCGGGCACGGGAAGGGCCGTGGGGTCCTGGTTTGAGGCATGAGCAGGTGTAGGGCTGGTCCTACCAGCGTGGAGGAGAGGCTGTGGGGAGGTCTGGGATGGGTGGGCAGCGTGACGGGCACCAAGGCCTGGCAGAGGGGCCACGGGCACCTCCTGGGAGCAGCCACGTCTGCAAGAGCAGCAGGGATGGAGCAGGAAGGAGGAAAGCAGAGAGGAGGAGAGGCGGGCGCTGCGGGTCGCCCCATTTCCCTGGGCGCTGCCACCCGGGTGATGCCACGGTGTCACAAAGGGCACCCCCGTATCCCTGCATCCCGAGTCCCTGCCAGGAGCCAGCAGCAGGATGCCCTCGCAGGTGGGAGCCCCCAGAGCACAGGTCCTCTTGCCATGGGATGCTTAATCCAAGGGGGACATCTGAGCCCTCCGGGCTTCCCTGAGTGACGAGGATGGGCAGTGGGCCCCCCCGGGGGGGATTTTCCCTGTGAGGGATCGACACGCGAGCGGATTAAGCGGGACTCCCCGCTGCAGCTTAGCACCGCAAATAGCGCCGCGGGCGCCGGGCCGGTGTTTCCCCGCGGGGGCGGGCGCCGCGGCGGCGCGAGCCGAGCGCCTCCGGAGCAGCCCCCGAGCCGGCGCTCCGCGCCCCCCGGCTGTCCCGCCACAGGGACCACCACGGCCGAGCAGAGCTGTGCTGAGCAGAGCTGTGCCCAGCAAAGCTGTGCCCAGCAAAGCCGTGCCGAGCGAAGCCGCTCAGTGGCTGTGCCGGGCGCTCCTGGCTTGGCAGGGCTCAGTCCCACCACTTCTCCTCCAGGGAGAAGCCGGACTGAGTTTGCTGGGACATCTGCAGTGAGGTGGCCTCGCTGCAGAAGATGATAAGAAATCCTCGCTTGGTTCATTTTATAAGGGCTCATCTGTAGCCTCCAGGACTGGCCCGTTCAGAGAAACCCATGCAGAGGTCCCCAAGTAAGAGGTAACCCCCCTCATAAGAGGTTTAGGAGCCAGATAGAGAGAACAGAAATAGAGCCACAAATAAACCAGAGCGTCACGGAAAGCAGGAAACCTCTTTACATGGTTAAAAATAAAGCGAGGTAGCAGCGAGTTTATTTAGGGCACCCAAGAGTAAATCGGATAATTGCTGGGGAAGTGCCAGTTTCCATTAGTAATCCCAAGGCGCAGAGGCACCATCATCAATGAAAACAAGACAACTGAGTCACGGTTAGGTAACAACGGAAAAAYGCCTTTGGAGGCGAGCGCAGCCTCCGCGCAGCACCGCAGAGYGCTCGGAGCCTGCAGTGAGGGATCGCAGGGTGGCACTTGTGCCTGGGTGCGAGCGGCGACCGAGGGGAGGAAGTTTGGGGGGAATTTCACTGTATTTGGCCAACTTTGCTTTGCAGGCGGCCAGACCGGCCCCGTCGGAGGTTCCTGTCCAAGACGTGGAGAGTCCCCAGGGGCTGGGGGAAGGCCAAGCGTTGCGGGAGCTCCCYGGCCCCCCGAGGAGCCCTGTGCCCCCGGGGCGCCTGCGGCAGCACCGCCAGCCCCTGGCCTCGCTGCTGGTGGTGGCGCAGCCCGGGGACCACGCGCCGCCCGCCATCCAGTTCCTCTTCTACCAGCCCATCTGCCCCAACTCCTACAGCCCCTTCTACACGGCCCAGAAGGCCACCTGCGGCTACCACTACCGCCGCGACACCGACCACACCAGGAAGGTGATGGACGTGCCCAGTGCCAACCTGGTGAAATGGAGAGCTGTCCGCGGCGTGAAACCGCTCGCAGCGCCAATAAAAGCCGAGCAATGAAACCAGCAGCTGGGGTGACCTGCGCTTCTTGTCTTCACGCCTGTGCTAGGACTAGCAATGAGTGTGTGAGGTGGTTTGGCCACCAGAGATATGTCCTGTGCCCATCTGGTTGCAAAAACACGGCCAGAAGTGAGGCCAAGTCAAACCTGGGTGTCTCCTTTGCCTGAGCTTAAGCTTGGCCAAAAGAAATCAAAGAGCATCTTCTTTCAGGAGGCTTTTGCAGACACAGGCAAAGTGCTGTTCATAGGGAACAGAAAACACATCTCCCTTGTGGTGCTGGAAAGCGGAGGCAGGAATGGGAACTGAAATTCGCCCGTTGCGTTGCCTGCTCTGAGAGGCAGATGTGCTGCTAGAAAGCACTTGTGCAGCTCTGGCTGAGCTTGTGCCCACCTTTAGTGCACAACCTTTCTTCTGCTAATGCGTGCCRAAATATTGCAGCCCCTTCCTGTGCTTTAGGACAAAATATCCCCCAAATGTCGTAGTGTGGCAGGTGGCAGGGGAGGTGAAGATGGAGTGCTGGGCCCCGGGTGCACCGTGCTCCGAGGCGCTGCGAGCGGCCGGGCCTCTCCGTGCTGCTGGTGCTGGCAAACAGAGCATCCGTAGAGCCCAGCAAAGCTCCTGCAGCTAATCCTGTCTCTGCAACTTGAGCAATGCCGCCTGTTTTAGCAGAGTTGCGCCTAACTTCCTTGCAGAAGAAATACCAGGCTCTGCCACACATAAAAGCCAGGCTGCTTGTCTTAACCTTGTGAGGTCTAAACCTAGGAAGGCTGCTGCACAGCCTCCCYGCTGGTAGGAATCCAGCTGCACTGATTTCATCACCGCTGCAGGATCTGGCCCATGCCACTTTCTTAGGACATGCTCCTTTAATCCCCCTGCCCAGACTTCACTGCTTTCACGTGTATTCCAGGGGGAACTTCAGCCAGAATATGACTAAGACCTGAAGGACCCCAGCGGGACAGGGACCTCTGCTTGTTCTTGCTTCGTGGTCTGATTTTAGGGCAGAAGTTCCTGCCCATGCAGCAGCAAGCGCAACCATGAGCGAGGTGGATTAGGAGCTTATGGTGTCATGGAGAAAAGCCACCCTCCTAATCCTGCCCGGGGCCATAATCTGCCACGCTTTCCCATTTTACCTCCTTCCCTATTTTATCCCTGAACTAGATGCCCTTGCATGAGCCCATCACCATCCCATTCCCCATTGGCGGAGAAGGGATTTGCCGAGTACTTAAGCGCCCAGGCCTCGTCTGAAGGGGGTTTGTGCTTTTAAATTTGCCTTGGGAAAAGCATCTTTTGTGCCTCTCGCCCCCGGCACCGACGTGGGGCAGCCCTGCACGGGCTGCCTTCCTTTCTTCCCATATCCCTGCAATGCTGGGGACACCTGGACTTTAACGGCGAGGCATAGATATAAAAGAAAAAAAGCCTCCAAATTGTGAAAAACACCCTCAGAATTTCCTGTTTTGCCAAGAAGTGATCAGCGACCTGCGTGGAAATGGGGAACATGGATGGGAAAGCAGTGGAGGAGCTGAGCGCCACCGAATGCCACCAGTGGTACAAGAAGTTCATGACGGAGTGTCCCTCGGGCCAGCTCACCCTCTACGAGTTCAAACAGTTTTTTGGCTTGAAAAACCTGAGTCCAGCAGCGAACAAATACGTTGAGCAAATGTTTGAGACGTTCGACTTCAATAAGGTAAATATTGCCCTTCCCGCTGGGTCTGCACCTGCGCTGCGTGTGCTCCGGGCTTGCGCATGTCCTACTTGAGCCTAGAAATATAGACTATACATGGCCTGATCCTCCTTTGCCTCCTAAGCTGTGTTCCTGGTTACTTACTCTGAAAAATTGATCTAAAGCCATAATCAGCAAAGCTCCTTTGTCTGCAGACTCTTCAGCAACAATTAGTGTTTTCTCTATCTTCCCATGCAGAACAGCTATAAAGGTTTAGACCTGATAGAGAGGCAAGCCCAGGACATTGCTGTGTGCACAGCGTGTGTCAGGGCACCGGCAGCCACCTCCCACAGTGCAGGAAACAGAGAAAGAATATTTCCCTATAAATTACTGTAGGTTTTTATTTGATACTCCTGATCYGATATCCCCTTAAGGCAAAGTGTCCTTTAATCCCTCAGTGCCAGGCGCCAGGATGATGGTAAGGAGGAGGCAAGCGCCCAAGCAGCGCAGATGCAGCTTGGTTTCCTAGTATTTTTAATTAATTATAATATATAATATAATAGATTTTAAAAATAATATAAATATAATATATAATATAATAAATCATTTAATTTTTAACAAGTGTGTTATGGGCTCAGTGCTGCAGTGCTTGTGCTTGTGCTTGGCCACCCTAGGGTCTCAGCTCGCTGCAGGGGCTCTGCAGAGGGACCACTGGCAACGCCGGGTCGGGAAGGGCCTGGGCTCCCTTAAAGTCCTACTTAATAGGTGTCCATGTGCTTGATAAGAGATAGAACCCCGGGGACGGGCGCCTAAGTACACAGAGCACAGGTGCCGAGTCACGGCAAGGAGAATTCAAAAACAAACGTCTGCTTCCTTCTGGGGTAAAAGGAAAGGGAAAATTTTGCCAAAYGAGCCTGCATGAGACAAGGGCTTAATTACCACTAAAATTAACACAGCTTGGGCCCTAAATCCCGCGGGCGCCTGTGCCTGAGGCTTTGCCTGCTCTTGCTGTGCGCGGATGTGCGTCCAGCAGCGGAGATGCTGGCCGTGCGCAGGRCTCAGCAGCTATTTATAGCTAATCCGGGGATAAAGCCGATGATCTTTGCTGCAATGGGCCCCATGGYGTGGGGTCTGTTCGGTGACCAACACGGGCTGCTTTGCCCCAAAAGACCCAGCGTGGCCTGGCTCCCATGGCAGCACGGCCGGAGGTGCAGCTGTGGGAGCTCCGGGATGTGCCGGCCGTAACGGGGTGTGCGGAGAGGCCTCGTGCCCGGGGCCTCCAGGGTTAAAGTCTCCTCTGGGTGACGGGGAAAACTGTTCGCTGCCTCGCTCTTTGCTTCCCACCTAATCCGGTTTCCATCCGTCTCCTTCCAGGACGGCTACATGGATTTCATGGAGTACGTGGCCGCCCTGAGCCTGGTGCTGAAAGGGAAGGTGGACCAGAAGCTGCGGTGGTACTTCAAGCTCTACGACGTGGACGGCAACGGCTGCATTGACAGGGGAGAGCTGCTAAACATCATCAAGGTGGGCGTTCTGGCTCCTTGATGGCAGCAGCGGTGACACYGGGGCCCTTCCTGTTCCGGCACAACCAGCCCCTTCCTTTCCCATTGCAGGTTGCTTGACTACATCCCCTTAAATCCAGTTTGACATAAGCGTTTGAATTTAAGCTAAGGATTTTCAGAGCTGAATGACTTCTGAATGATCTCAGTAGGCCACTTAATCTTTTAATGCCTTTATTGCCTTTTTAAGTGGTTTTAATCTCCAGTTTTTAAAATGGGCTGCTTTATTCCTTCCCGAAGTGAACTGCTTGCAGGAAAGCTTGGCCTCCAATGTCACATCCATCACTTAGATGCTTGAATCCATGAGTACAGGAACGTGTTCATGACGTTCACTGTTTCTCCTGTGTGCCCTGTTCCTCCAGGCTATCCGTGCTATCAACCGCTGCAACGAGACAATGACAGCCGAGGAGTTCACCGACATGGTGTTTGATAAGATTGATATCAACGGCGATGGTGAGTGACCTTCTTTCACCCAAAGCTGCGACCTGGACCTGCTGCTGTCCCCGTGCGTAACCCCGGTCCCTTTGCGTGCCCTCTCGCAGGCGAGCTCTCGCTGGAGGAGTTCATGGAGGGCGTGCAGAAGGACGAGGTGCTGCTCGACATCCTCACCCGCAGCCTGGACCTCACCCACATCGTCCGGCTGATCCAGAACGATGGGAAGAACCCGCAGAGCTCTGAGGCGGAGGCGGCGGCCGCCGAGTAGGCTCTCGGGACGCACACACATCTTCTCCGCTTTTCCCTCTAAAGTCAGTAAAAGAGACAGTTTGTGGTCACGGGAGCTGCCCCAGCCCCGGCGGGATGAGGCGGAGGAGCATCCYGCTGGCGCAGGATCGTGGTCTCCATGGTCTCCAGAGGCATCGCTCCCAGGGCTGGTGCAGCTCGGCACAGGGCCAACACACACGGACCTCGTGCGGGTCCCACGAGGGCAGAGCCGAGGGACGAGTGTCCCAAGGGGCCGGGGTGCAGAGGGTGCCGCTCTGCCGAGGGGAGCAGCGCGGGGCGCCGGGGACTCACGCACAGAGATCGGCCCAAAGGCAGACGTGCAAAACCCCGAAACCAGAGCTGAACCTTCTCCTCCTGCCTGTATTCCCAGAGCATGCCCAATATTTTCCCAACACAAAAATGAGAGCAGTAATTTTGGTCACTCATTCGTTGCTTTATTGCTATTATATAAACAGTCTTTAATGATGATAGAGATAAAGCCATCTGTGAGTTAGGAGAAAGAAGCAGGGAGAGTGCAGTGATTCTCTCAGCTGTCTTTTAAAGCACTAGAAACATTAAATGGTGCCTTTTTTTTTTTTTTTTTTTTTGTTTCTCTAACTGCTGTCTGAACCAGTCGAGTGAACAACTTCAGGGTTCAGTTCCTCCGGGAAAGGGCTGCAGTGGCAGGGACGTGAAAGGGAGCAGTTTTGCATGCGCTTGCAGGGATATCCCTGCATGTCTTATCACCTGCACACTTCGAGCGCTGGTGCGAGTTGCCCCAGGCCCTGGGAGCACTGGGTGCTGCGGGACCCGCTGCCCAGCRCCGCCTGCCAGCAATTTATGGTCACTTTTTTTCCTGTCAGCTTTTGTACTTTGGGTCTTATAGAGAACTAATAAAGGATGTTTTACAAGAGTATTTGAGGTTGTGTTTTTTCTCTTTGGTCGATTATCCAGCTGTTCCCAGAAGGGCGGATTAGCTCTCCAGGGCTTCATTCACRCTGCTCCTTTGCAGGAGCAGCAGGAGAGACGGGCGAGCCCGGTTTGCCAGGTGCTAGACGAGACTTTGCTCCCAGCTCCTAGCACCTTTGAGGTCTGGTTGCCCATTCTTCCCAGCACAGTTTGCATGGAGCTTGATTTGGCAAACGTGCCCTCCCGTGTCCCTGCAGCTCTTGSCTCCTGCATTCACCCTCCCCAGCAGCCCCAGCCTGGGTCACACACTGTCCCTGCACAGCCACAGGAAAGGGAAAAGCCAGAGAGGTTCCGAGACGGGAGGGCCATCCAGCCCCAGGCCTGCTGAGCCCTGTGCTGGTGCCAGGGTGGGCAGCCTGTGCCACCACGAGAGCCACACGAGTCCTCAGCTGGTGCTCAGCACCCTCCGGCAGCAGAACTGGCCCCCCACAAAGGACCATTGCAGCACTTACTTCATCCTTAAGGCAGTGGGTGCGAGGTGAACATGGGCTTCTTGTGCAAACTTCCTCCCGAAGGCAAGGTCAGCCCTGGATGCCTTCCCCAAAATACCAAGGGAAGCTCTCCAAGGGCAGCCTCCGACCAACCGGGTGTCAGGATGCATCCTCAGAGCTCAGCATCTCSTTCAGATACTGCTTTCTCAGCCTCTAAGAAATCAAATGAAAAGTAATTAAAAAGTAACACTGGGCTTTCCTGTCCCTAACTCGGGTAGAATTAATTCATTTYGAAATGGCGCCGGGCAGGAGCAGGCACGCAAGGAGGGCCGGGTTTCCGTGGCTGGAAAGGCAACCGTGCCACCTCCTGGGCACGAGCGATGCTGGCCGGGCAGAGCGGGCRGCACCGGGGCTGTGCAGCACAGGGGCTTTCAAATGCAAGATCCCAAACAAGCCTGGTGACCACATACACAGCTGATGATGTCAGAGGGCACAAAATATCCCCRTCCCCACCCTGGTGCGTGTGGCGCCAGGACCAAAAGGCAGAGAAATGAAGTGGAGCAGCAGAGCRGATGGCTGCAGAAGCTGGGGCCCTTCCCAGCCCGGCACCGAGGGCGGCAAATTCCGCACACRGGAACCAGGGGAATGCTGCAACCTGCACACAAGCCCTTGCTCCAAACCCCAGCTGTGAATATCACATTGAAAAAAACCCAAAACCCCCAAAAACACAGATAAGGATCACGGCTAAGCATAGTGCACCATGCAACCATCATCTCACTCCTAGYTCCTTCCTTCTCAGGGTCGGGGCTCGGGACCATCCTTGGGAACGTGCCCATCCATAATGCTGGGACACAACCTCTCCTGGGTCCCTGGTCCCTTCCAGACAGTCACAGCACTACTTGCAGCTTTGGAACCTGCTTATCCCACCTTCAACCCTACCCAACATCAGGGACAGCAAAAATCAGACCRGATAATGATAAGCCCAGAAAATCAGATAGCATTTGCTTTTCTGAGCTGTTGCATGACCCAATTTAGACCAAAAAAATCCAATCAGGCAAATCCAATTCCAGCTCAGCTCTAAGTCTGGAAAATGGATTACACAACATCTGACATCAATAACCAGACGCAAATGTTGAGCTGAGTTTGGGAGGAGATCAAAGTGTTGAGTACTTACTTTAGAAGAAGACTAAGACTAAAGCACTCATTTTTGCAACAAAAGATTACAAGACTGATAAGAGTGAAAAGATTTTCCACTGGGTTATGCCAGCTCTAACACATACCTGTCTCTTGCATAGCCTGTGATTGCCTCTGGGCTGCATAAAGCAGATGTGAGGCTCTTCTCCCAGCCCTGAACTCTACAGCCTTTTGCACGTGGTTCTTGCATCTCAGCAAGGCCAAAACAGGGGCCATTTGATGGCCCACAGCACTGTCAGCTCACCTTACTGTGCAGCAGCTATTTCTAACTCCACCCAGAAAAACTTTTTGCACATCTGCTTTTCACATGCATAGAAGTGGAGACCAGAGCCTATTTGCAATGGTGATCTGCAGCAGCACAGCTACTGCTGCCCTGGGTCTGGCTCGTCACCTTAACCCATCACCTCTGCTCAACTGATCACATCATACTCAAAGATCACCTTGGCCAGACACTCAGCTGCTTACACAGGCATGTGTCTCATTCCAAGTAGAAAATAGGTTCAAAATGAAATTTTAATAAATAATAGATCTTTATTAGATCAAAGTGTTACAAAACCCAAGTACAAGGGCTCAGGGTGAGGATGCCCTGCACATCCCAGCTCCTGGGGGGAATGCCAAATGCCCCCTTGGGGGTCAGACCTTGCTAGGGGATGAGAATAAAAAAATAAAATAAAGCATTTAAGTAAAACTTCAGTATATAACTATAAGTAAACATGCATTTAACATTAATATTTGTGCAAGAAGCAAAAGCCAGATGTGTTATGTTAGTGATACCCCAGAATCAAGTAATTTGTCCATGAGTTTCGTAATGCAAATCTCTTCTTCAGTGTCCTCATGGAAGTCCGGAGTGAAATTCTTTCAGGTCTTTGGCTGGTAAACAGCACATGCATTTGAACTGTCTTATTCTGAATATTTCCTGAATACTTCTGAACCCAAAAAATCAGCTAAATTGACAAAGCTACCAGTAAGCTAGCTCYGAGTATGACAGTGGGGTGGATAAAGGCCAAAAGAATTTAAAAGGTTACAATTTTTTCAATGCTTGGAATTTGACCAATTTTCTTGTGGGACAACATCAATAAACCAGATCAAAAGACATGYCATTCTCCTCAAGAGTTTTTTCTTGAAAATAACGCATAAATCCAACAAAACTGAACCAATGTTTTGGTTCAAAAACCAAAGTTCAAATCCTCTCTCCACACATATACATGGGTTAGCCATAAGAATAGCAAAGCTYATCCCATAGGCTGTGCAAATTCCATCTGTAGTCTGTGGCTGGATCGGTAAGCAGTGTAAAACCACTGCACTACTATATTGACCGAGTGTCCCTCACACCATCCTGCTACTCCTGCCAATAAATCACAGCTAAGCCAGTCCCTCTACAGAAGGATTCCCAGGCAAGATCCCRCTGCCCTCCGCTTCTCATCACAACCAACTTGTGGCCCAGGGGAAGTGCTGAGGCCTGCGCGAGCTCAGCCCTGCTCCACAGGGTGCAGAAAGATGCCCCAAAAAAGGACCCAGCAAGGAAAAGGGCTCAGGAAGGGRCAGACCCACAGCTCTTGTGCAAACCTCATCCACAGATGCTGCCAGGAAGAGATACAACTGGCAGCGCAGTGTTTGAAAACCCACTTTCCTGGCCCCATAGAACCTCACAGAAAATGGTACCAGGAGCAAGGTGTGCTCCACAGAAGAGATCCAAGTTATTACTGCAGCTGTCCAGCCTTCACATTATGGTTTCCCCAGCTTTGTACACAGACCTGGCTATCCTTATGATCTTAAGGATGGTGTTATGTTGCTGCTCATTCATTTTGCTAAAATAATACAACCTACCCAAATCAATTGTATGCACACATTATAAAGTGTAACAGATTTCCTGAGAGAAGAGTGTCTGCCATCTGCACTGAAAGTGGTACCAGACCATCAGGAATTCTCCTYGTCTGGTCCCTTCTCTCACTGGAATACAAAACACTCCCAGGAAACCATTAGAGGAAACCACAAARAGTTTGTTCCTTAGGGTGTAACCAAAAGCCAGAGCTGGCAAACAGGGTGTTGTGTACATAAAAGGACTTATTCATGGACCAACAATGTCTCTGGGTACCAGCAGTTCTTGCCATATGCAGCATGAGATTCGGATATGCCCTCTTGAATCTCTGGAGGTCTTCATGTGGATGCTGGGATTGTATTAAAACTTAAAGCCATTATCCCTCCCACCCCCAGAGTGAAAGCCACAGCTGTAGTCAGCACCACGTTTTCAGTCATATCAAAATGGGATTTTCTTTAACAAACACTGCTCCTCCTCTGCTCAGAGATCCATCCTGCAGGGTTTACTTCCATTTGCAACATCTTCATCACCCACTTGTCTTTCCTGGCTCCATCAATGAATTCATCAAGAGACAACTGCCCTATAACCAGGACGGGGAGGACAAAGGATAGGAACACAAAACATGACAGGAAGCAAAAACATGGAAATGTGTTAATGAGAAAAAAGATACACTACCTATTCTCCCCATGCAGCTTAGGGCAGCTAAATAGAAGACAAACCACCACCCTGGAAACCCCATTCACACCTACAGTGTCCCACTGGCTAACATGGAACACTGCATTGGGTTACACATGCTGCTCTGGGAGGACTGCAAGTCTGATCCTGCAAGCTACCYGTTTTCAATAGACCCACTGTCTCTATTCAGGCTCCCTGCCCCTCACCTGGGATCTGTTCCAACTGCTCGAGGTTTRAGAATGACACCAGCAGGGCATCAAAATCCAGAAGGAATAATGAGTCCAGTGTATTTTATATTAATAAATAAAAATTATCTGTTGCAAAGAATGGCTTGAGATGCCTTAACTGCTGCACAACAGCCAGAGCCCAACCTGACTTGTCTGAGTAATATGATTGTCTTAACTGATTTTTTGATAAATCTAATTAAAACTAGTCTGACCAGCACAGATATATTTTCGTTATGCATGAGTGCAATTTAAGCTATCAGTTCCTTACCATCTCCATTCTCATCCACTAACTGAAATATCCTGTCCACAACCTCCTCTGGYGTGAGCAATGGAGTCCTCTCCTCCACTTCAGACCGACACACTTTCTTCAGCTTGTAGATAGACTGTAAAGTTCACAGGTTAGAAGGACATGAAAAGCAGGGCTATACTTATCTCAGCAGTGTAGATATTTGCAGGCTGCAGTTCTATTTTTTTTTCCACCCAGAAACATCTGCCACTGGGGAGCCATTGATCTCCACTGAGCAGATCATTAACAAAACCTCCCACCATATTATGTGTACTGTGGATTACATTATTTGCACTTTAAAACTGCAGCCCATCCATTTTACTTGTGTACTAATCAAACCTCAGGTTCCTTTGCAAGGAGCAAGGTAAGAGTTTCCAGAGACAGGAAAAATCATACTGAGATGTCAAATGATTTTTTCCCAGGGTCTATGCAGATCTGAAACCAGGCATACCTGGATTTAACCGCTTCTCCCTCTCTCCTATTCAACTTGTGCCCAAACTGCAAAAATCAAACCCATATTAGCATATATTTTGACCCACTTTGCCAGTGGAACATGGCAGATTTGGCCTATTCCCCTCTCTATATTTGTTGCTCTCCTTGCAATGCAAGCACCTGTTCACTTAGTTTTGCTCATCAGGCTGAAGGATTGTCTGCAGACTTCCCAGCCAGGGGATTAGCAAGGGCAGAACACAGCTCTGGCCCATTTCTCTGACCTTAAAACAATAATTGAACCCAGCCTTAACTAGCTCCCCAAATTCTTTCTCTCCTGTTGATTTAGGTAGCCAAAACTGGTCCCATTTCCCCAGTCCCTGACTTATCAGCACAGAAAGACTCARCTGCTCTGAGTTGCCTTCCTATTTCAGCCTGAAATGGCCGATACCACTGATTAAGCCTCCCAAATACAGTTGKGAAAGGGTGACTAACAGCGCCTGTGTTGCAGGGCAGAGTCTAAGAGTCCATGAGAGATTTGCCTAAGGTTACACAGCACCTGGGCATCTCATCTCTCTCTGCTAGACCACCAGGCCACATGTCCTTTCATACTTCAATTTACTAACTGAAACCAATTGCAGAACATAAAAACCCAGAAATATCAGGTTTGCACCAAAGCACTCTGTAAATGACCACTTCRCCTAGGCCAGGCATCTTCACTTCATCACTAACCACAGCAGTTTGAAACAGTGGGTTATCTCTATACACACTATATGCATCATTATATTGCCAAAGGATGGAGATTAGACATGATAATTAGGCAATACCCACTTACCTCAACAATTTCTAGCAGCTCAGGTTTATCTATGCAGCCATTCCCATCCTTGTCATATACTTTGAATGTCCACCTCAGTTTATGTTCCAGTTTTCCTCGTAAAACGAGATTTAAAGCAGCCACGTATTCCAGAAAGTCTATGGTGTTATCCTGTAGGAAAAGGCAGCACAAGATGAAGGGCATTTAACCACAGAGCTGACAGCACTGCTTAGGAAAGAAGGATGAAGGATGAGAGCAGGATGCCCAGAAGATGCTGTGGGRGACAGCTATTTCCCACTCTAGGAGACTATCAGCACTGCCCTTCTCCCCTGTCCCCCTGGGATAAGCTCCTGGGCAGCAGCAGAACAGATGAGCTGCATTCTCCCCGTTACAGGAATAAGGAGGACACCTGCAAGGACTCAACACAAACAGCTCAAACACACTGGGACAGTACAGACAACACAAATGATGCAGAAGCACCCGAGGAAGGTGGTGACAATGGAGCCATCCAGGGGGAAGCAGCAAGAGCCTCTGCACCAAGGGACATGTCAAGTGTTGGGCCGCCTACAAGGCTCTGAAAAGGCTCTGGGAAGCACTCCGGCTCCGTCAGCAGCCTCCAGCAGATGGCCCTCCTAACTCAGCCCATTGCCCAAGGCCAAGCGCTCAACAGCACGCGTCCCCATCCAGGGACAAGTCCCAGCCTAGGGAGCAAAAGGGCCTGTGTGTGGCCCCCRCAGGCTGCTGGAGGGACCAAAAGCTGCTATTGCTGGACTGGGAACACAAATAATTTAGGGTGTGTTTGCATTGATGCCCTTAACACTGATAATCCTTCAGATCATCAGGCCCTGAAAGCTGTTTTTTAGACCTAATTTAAGTGATTATATAGCAAAAGCCCATTTAGCAAGCACACACACCTAGGCCTAATTTAATACAGTTTTAGGAATATTGTACTTATATTTATGCTACCAAAAAAATGAAAGGGGGGAGTGTCATTCTCCTAAGAATGGGGCTTCCTYCCTCCCTTAATGTCCGCTGCTCATGGGCATTAGCAACACTACCTGAAATGCACCGAGGAGCATGTTCTGGCTCCAGCAGGCCACAGAGCAGGACATTTCTGCAGGAATCCCTTCTGACATGGATTGCATTAGACAGTTTAGATCTATGCTTTTTGCTTACATTTTCCATTGCTTTCTTATAATGCTCTCAAACTGGCTTTTACTACTACTACCACCACAGTGCAGTCTTGCCACTGGTTTAAAAAGAAGCTTAATAGAAATTGTTTTATCTAATCCAAGCAGGGTCTAGTAGTTGTGTCCCCTTTTCCAGTGTGACTAAACAAACAACTGTAGACTTCAAATATGATCAAGAGCTTCCRAAAAGTCTAGTAGCTAGGCAAATACCACCCATTTCAAGAGGGAGAAGAACCACCTTATGCTTACCCRAGTAGCTGAAATATTATGGGCTAGTATTACACTATCACTTGCACCAACGTGCAAGCTGAGTAAACAGCTACAAAACCAAGCAGCTCATTTCTCCCAAGGGTCTGAAGACAAAAACAACTCACAATCAAGACCAAATTTTCAGGATTGTTCAAAGTTCCTTAGCTTTTGAGTAGCAGCTAAAGCTGCTACTAAAGTAGTTAAACAAAAATCAGTATTTTGTTACTTGCTACCTGTTCATAAAGTACATACATACTTCCTCCAAGTAGGACTGTCCTCCAGTGTTATTCCTCCTGCATCATAACAGCTATATATTTTTTGGCTAGTAGCCTTTGCTGTTTGAGGATCTTTCAGCTGCCTAGGTTTAAACCTTTTAATCCATCCTTAGGCACTTGAAGGACATTCCGTCCTTAATTCGCATACAGATTTATGAAGAGATAAATCCACACCAAACCATGAAGACTGATGCAGTGTGTTTCTTATATAAGAAAGGAGACTGCGACACAGGGTAGGATCCCACCAGCCTCACAGCCAAACCCCTCTGTGTTTGCACCCAGGTGCCTTTTTGAATCCAAAGAAAAAGCCCATTACAGCTAGTCCTYACATTGCAGGGAGCAATAGAACTGCACTACAGCCTTGGTAGACCCCTTGCCTTTGTCTCATTAAACCTAATAACGAGAGTGGAACCTGCCCCAAGCCATCTCTAAWTTGCCAGAGAGCAGTGAGTATCAGCCAAATCGCTGCACTAGCTCTTTGCCACTTACCCCATTCTTATCAAAAGCTCTGAACATGTTTTCAATGTACTCCGCGGCTTCGCAATTGTCCTGGACTCCGAAGAAGCGCTTGAACTCATGCATGAAGAGGGTCCCGCTAGGACATTCCACCACAAATTTCTTATACCACTCCTGCAGTTCAGCAACATCAATTTCTGCTTGTTCCCCTTCAGCATTGGTGAAGTGCTGCCCCATTTTCCTCTGCAAATGGGAAAAAAAGGAACAAAAAAGAAAAAGATCAACTCCTTTGCAGGTACTGTCCTTTTATCTCCTGTAGTTTCTTTCTCTTTGCTCTTTTTCCTCCTGCAGGTTCTTGCCTTTGGTTCTCTGGTGCTGATGCTGCGTCCTRCTATTTTACTTTGTCTTTCACCTTATTCTTCCTCCTCCTTTTCTGCAGGCTCTGCTCACCTCTACACTTTGTGAGCTGCCTTCGTGATCCTGGAGTGCTTCCCTTCATTAAGGCAGGGCAACAAAACATGTGGTCTCAGACCTGCATAAAAATAACTAAGATCATTAGGAGATTCTGACCTATTAGTCACAGAGACCTTCAGATGTTCTCAGCTGAGCCCTATTTAGAAGCAGCCTCCATAGAGACTCAGGGGGCTGCTGCAGGGCTGCACCTGCATGTCAAAGGATTTTGGAGCTGAGATTCCCTTTATATGTTACTTATAATCTCTTCCTTGGTTCTGTGCCTTTTCTGAAAAAGAAAATAATTAAGTGAATTCTTAGACTTTGGTTTTCAAATTTCAGTATATACTAGCAGCTTAGGGARTTACTGTAATTATTTTCAGTAAAAATTATATATTAACAAACATCTTTTAAAGAGAGTTTTGATAAAAAATGTAAGACTCATTCTACTCACCTGAGAAAAGTGGATTACTAATACATCAAACAATGCATTACTGAAAGTATGTTGGGTGTCCTACCTCTATAAGTTAATCCTTTAGGGGGAAAAAACCCTGTGAATGCACATAGTTAAATATATATATCCCTTAGCTTCATAGGAAGCTTTTAGAATTTTAAAGTTTTTTAGGAATCTTATTTCTCTCTACTTTCCTGAAGTATCATATTTTTTCTTCATTCCTCTATCTACTTACCTCTTCACAACACTCACTATACTTGCAGTGTTAAAAAAAACCTCTATCTTAAAAAGAAAGGAAAAAAATTATCCTAGCAGTAAATATTGCTTACTGCTTTTATTACAGAGACTAGCTATAGCTCTAGATAGGCTGTTCTCTTAGGTCTGCTCACAGCTATAGTCTATACAAATAAATAATAATAAAATACTAATTAAAAAAAAAAGAGAAAACCCCATCCCTAAAGACCTCCCTCTTCATTTTAYCTCTTTGCAAAACCACCAACCTTTATACATATTGTGCCAGGTGTTCTGAATCTAACCATCTTTCTGTGTCAGCTGGAAAGAAATGACCTGTAGCTATAAATGTGCTTGAGCCAGGCTAGCTTGCAGATGGGATTCTTCCTTTAAGAAGATTGGAGCAGTATTAATAGGAAGTAATGGGGCCTTTATTATTACAATGCTAAGGGCYATTGAAGGCTTAAATTGCTCATTTTAGAAACAGATTGGTTTTGGAAAGAAGACTTACTAATATGGAAAAAACATAGGTCAAAAGTCAGTCTAGTGCTTGTTGCTGCAAGATGAGCTACTTTCCTGCAGTAAAAGCAGGCTTTATTCAGAGTCCCCTTGTGCATGTGAATAGCCCTTCGCAGGTGTTACCTGTGCACAACTTTGCAGAAGCAGAGCCTGACTTTTTGTTTCTGTAGCTCCTCAGGATGCCTGAGCACTGTGGAGACTCCTGCTGCAACCTCTGGAGAAGAGACAAGTAGGACAGCAGAAGTATAAAAAGAGAGAAGAGGGATTAGTGAAACTATGAGAAAGCCTAAAGATGTTTTCTTTCTCTGGAAAGGTTCACTTTTGGGCCTGGTGGTTCAGAGGAATATTAGTTGTCTTCTCTTGTACCTAAAAGAATGTAACAGGCTTAATAAACTTAAGCCTCCCTCCTCCAGGTGCTTCAAGCCCTGACTTTTAATGAATTTCTACTGTAGCAGCATAGCCTGAGGGCTGATGAAGGGAAAGAGCCCTGCTCTATGCGTGTGCTTCCTAACGAGATGAGACTGGACATCACAGGCCCTGCCATCCCTGAGAGYTCCCTGTGCTGCATTCCCTGTTTCTGCGCTCCGTGATTCCGTGTGTTCCATCTACGCAGGGTCCCTGTGCTTGCTGGGGCTGTCGTACGAAGGAACTGCTTTCTCCCTCCTCCCTCTGTGTTCCTCGCTGCTTCTTGGTTSATGCCTGAGAGGACCTGGGTTCTGCGCTTTGGTTGCAAATGTAGTTTTAGGGAAACTAGAGGCACCTTTTTCTGTGGCAACACAGATGTGTAGGGGGTCATGAGTGTTTTTACAGCAGCGCAGCTGGGGGGTTTTGCTCGGCAGAGTTTCGCTCCGGTGCGGAGCTGCCCGCTGGAATGCGAGTGCTCGGAGCACAAGACTCCACAYGCCCGGGCCGCGGTGCTGCCTCGTTGCATAAGGCTGTTTTGCCCTATGGGAACTTAGTGATCTGTTCCCAGGAGAGAAAATGGTTCCTCTTTGTTTTGATCCCTCGGTTCTTTTCCAGCTAGGAACAAAGGCCTTGAAAGATCTCTCGGCTTGCAGGGTCTGAGCTCTGCCGCTGTTGGTATCGTGACGTACAATGCCTTTAATAAACGCGGGGCTGTGGACTTGGCACTGAAGCAATTGAAACCCACAGCTCCTGTTATGGAAATGCCTCTGTGGCTGAGTCTGCTTGTGCCCGGACCGCTCTCGCCCGGCTGCGCTGGCAGAGTCCGTCCGCAGGTGTTAATGCTGCTTTATGGAGCACCGTTTGTGCTAAAGGGTTGCTCTGTGTGATTTGAAAAAGATGCAGGTAGAAGTAATAAAGATGACTAAAAAATGAAAATAATATTTTCTAGGAAACACTATAATAAAGGACTTGGTGTTTGTTGGCCTCTGGAAGTTTGGGATCAGTGCTGTATAAGTGATGGAGCAGAGAAATACCATTCCAGAATGAAAACTGTGGATGAGGGCATTGCAAGCAGGGAGCATCTGATTGCATCCTGCCTTCTGAGCTCTCCCAGGTTGTCCCCAGCCTGGCTCAGAGCGGCAGTGTCCCAGCGAGGCAGCTCGCTTCCCGTTGGCTCGYCAGGCGTGCCGCCACACGCTCGAGGCGAGCAGAAAGGCACGGAAAGAGCCGCAGAGCAGCGGGAAGACTCATTCCTTCGGCATCTGCGCCAGAGCCTTGGCTGCCTCCGCGCGTGGTGATGAAGASGAGGAGCCGTGGGCGCTCAGTTGGGCCCCCTGGCATGCAAGCGCTGCAGGGGGAAGGTGCATCTGCAGTGTGCGCTCSAGTGCCTGCCCGTAGTGCCCTGGCACCTTGCTCCTTGTCCACACTGAGGGTGCACGGAGTGGCCGGGGTGCTCCGGAGCAGGGTCAGGAGCGCGGCCAAGGGGCATGGGCAGTTTTCCCACAGTGTCTGCTTTGCACCGAGCGACCGGGCTGGCAAGCTGTGCTGCAAGCGAGGGCAGATCCGGAACTCCTGAACATTTACCTGGCGCCAGGCAGGACAGACGTGTGGACGCGAGGAATGCGAGGAGGATGTGCGGCAGCTTTAGAGCTGACACGTTGCATACCAGCCCAAAGAGGGGAAGGGAGCAGTGCCCCTTCTCCTGAGCATCGCTGCTGGGTTTATTACATGAGCTGCTCTCCCTGATTGTGTACTCTGAAACCGACAGGTAGCAAACATCTGAGATGTCCCACCGCAGTGTTACCTCATCCCAACAAGCGCTGCCGTGGGCTTCACTTCCAGGGAGAGCTGATCGTGTGCTCACAAACTGACACTACCTGCCATCTCTGAGCAGTGGGGAAACGAAGCCTGGAATTTTCATCTTGCACTTTGGTATCTCACAAGACAAATGTCCCCAAAACCCCACAAAACTGCCCATTTTCAGTGAGAATTTTTGGCAAATTTCAAGATTTTACGTAAACTTGGGAGAGGTCAAGCTATGAGTCAGGCTCTCCAAGGGCAGGAAGCAGCAGGATGAGCCTTTAGGAGGGGAAGGAGAAGGGAATTTCCTGCTTTTTTCATGTTAATTAAAACTAAGGTGCAAAGTGATCCCTTGAAACCAGGATTCACCACTGAGTCACCGTTGGCCACCTAGGAGGGAAGGAAACTAAGCGAGGGCCTCGTGGGGCCGTGGGCGCAGGAAACACAGCAGCGCTCCGCGGCACTCCCGTGGGTTTGCAGTCCGAGGTTGCTTTTMTTCCGTGCGGCGTTCTGAAAAATCACCACGCTTGCGGGTGCGCCTTATAACTGCTATTTGTTGTTTAAAGGCGGGCTATGGATGTGACGAGCGGAGCGCGGTGGGGGGGTCGGCGCCGGTGGCTGCGGGGGCGGCGCGGGGAGCGGCGGCGGCTGCGCCGGGCGC